GGCATACTCAACAGTTGAGTAAGACAAGGCAAAGGCTGATGTTCTTATTAATTTTGGGTCTGCAACCCATGCCCTATTAGTAAGTTTCGGCAGGAAGTTATCGAGTACAGCTACTTTGTGCTTAGTGTTCGCACAGTGTTTTCTAAATGTTAGTGTTCGATCTAAGGTGATGCCAAGATACTGTATTTAGGGTGGGAACATTGTTCAAGCTCTTGGCCCTCCCAGATATCTTTTGGTTTCCTGTTGGCTTCACGATTATATTTTGCTGCTGGATTCTCCTGGAAGCTGACCACTGGGGGCCTATGACTCTTTAACACCATCATATTTCCTTTCCTTTATGATTTTTAACCTCATTGCCAGATAAAGAAGTCAGTGAAACTTTAAGATAGCGTTCATGATGTATTTTCAGTACATTGGATGACCAATATAAGTATAACTGTTTTATGGATTTTGGAGTTTTGTCTTCCTCTTCCCAGTTGTTGTATCTTTGTAGTTTTTGAAGAATTATTAATAAAATAGTATTACTTTATACTGATAATCTACTGATAGAGAGTTATAATAGCACCAGATCATCTTCCTCCTCCTCCTCCTCCTCCTCCTCCTCCTCCTCCTCCTCCTCCTCCTCCTCCTCCTCCTCCTCCTCTATTTAGTTATACCCCACTTTATCTCCCCCAAAGGGGACTGAAAGTGACTTAACATAAAAGCATCAGCATAACCATTTAAAATGCACAAATATACGGACATTAAAACAGGATTAAATATAAACAGTATTAAAACATTCCCAGTTAAAAACCATTAAAACAAAATAAAAGTTAAAAACCACAGTACCCCTTTAATTTATCTTACACCTTCATTCTTAAAAGCCTGTCTGAATAAAAAGGTTTTAGCCTGCTGCTTCAAGGACAGTGGAGAGAGGGCCATTCTGGCTTCCCTGGGCAGAGAGTTCCAGCGTCGAGGGGCAGCCACTGAGAAGGCCCTCTCTCTCGTTCCCACCAACTGAGCTTGAGATGGAGGTGGGCCTGAGAGAAGGGCCTCTCCTGAAGATCTCAGAGTCCAGGCAGGTTATGTTTTCATTTATGTTTCTATAGTTACATTTCTTTCACAGTCATACATCTTTTATGTTTGATTGTGGATAGATTGTTGTTTTTGTGCGTTGCCTTGGCCAAAGCATTCTTTCTCAGCATACTCTCTCTGGAGAATTATTGTTAAGGCAAAGTGAAAATTTAAATTTGTATTGTCTAGCTTCATCTTGGAAGCTACTTTTTTGGTTGAAAGCCTCTGATATTTTCTTGATAAATCCTACACTACATTAAATATGTAAGATTTTTGGCGTCCTCGTGGACAACACGTTAAACATGAGCCAACCATGGCTAAACAATGGCTTGAAAAGCGAATGGGATTTTGGCCTGCATAAATAGGAGTATTGTGTCTAGATCTAGGGAAGTCATGCTACTCCTCTATTCTGCCTTGGTTAGACCACACTTGGAATACTGTGCTCAATTTTGGGCACCACAATTTAAAGGAGATGTTGATAAATTGGAATGTTTCCAGAGAAGAGCGACTAAAATGAACAAGGGTCTGGAGAACAAGCCCAATGAGGAGCGGCTTAAAGAGCTGGGCATGTTTAGTTTGCAAAAGAGAAGGCTGAGAGGAAACATGATAGCTATGTATAAATATATGAGGGGAAGCCATAATGAGGAGGGAGCAAACTTGTTTTCTGCTGCCTTGGAGGCTGGGACGCGGAACAATGGCTTCAAACTACAGGAAATGAGATTCCACCTAAATATTAGGAAGAACTTTCTAATTGTGAGAGCTGTTCAGCAGTGGAACTCTCTGCCCCAGAGTGTGGTGGAGGCTCCTTCTTTGGAGGCTTTTAAACAGAGGCTCAATGGCCATCTGTCGGAGGTGCTTGAAGGCTATTTTCCTGCATATGAAATAGGACTATTTTCAGGTATATAATCTACATTTTAGGATTGCAATCTAAATCTACTCAACTTTCCTTCACATGTTTACTCCAGTACAGTTTTTCTCTTGTCCCATGCTATATGAAATATTTTCATTCTACCATATTAGTCCTGTGTCGCCAGATAAGTTTGGAAGCATTGTCTTATAGCTAAAATATTTTCTGCTTGTATTCAGAACTCTAGGGTAGGTATAGAAATACTTTAAGAAATAAAATTTTATCATATAATGTAAATATATCCAGCAGTCGAATCCAAGATTAATTTCTGTTGCTGGAAAGTGCTGATATCTTTACAAAAAGGGTATTCAGAAATTTTGTTTTTTGTGATTTGATGCTCATCACTTTTCAGTGGCCTTTTATTTTGCATAGAAATGTTAGAATCATTTCCTATGTCTTTTCTTACGTATTTTGCCTTGGCCATCTCTTCTTCCCAGTCTCTTCATGGCTTTGCTTGAATTATCATGACTCATTGACGATAAATAGGCATTTTGTTTATTCCAGAATATTCTCTATTAGCTAGTGGTGTGATCCCAGACCTTGTACACCAGCTCCCTAGGTTGATTTGTATGAACCTAGTATAAAATCAGATGGAACAAGAACAAAATCTGGGACTTTTCAGTCAGTTGGGGTGCATCCTATATGGAATTGAACTAAATTGCACCTGTAGGGCATTGTACCTATGGCATTGAAATTCTGCAAGTTTCTGAACTGTTAGAACCTTCTCAGTCGCGGTTTGGCTTCTCCTACACAGCTGATATGTTTTATTAAATTTCTTTATAAAAACTAATAACTACAGATTTGAGGAAATAGACTTGCTTTTTATTTGTTGTTGATTTTGTTTGTATTTTAAGTAACTACAATAATTAAAAGATACTAAATACCAGATGTTAAATATGAATCTTATCCTAACTTATGTTCTTTTTCAAAATGCAGTGATGACCATCTGAAACTATGCATGATAATTTTTAATTCTAGCACTAGAAAGCAGATTGCAGACACCTGTGTGTTTAGGAATGGAGATAACCAGTTAAACATGTCTGTCCTTGTGCTATTTGTTTTGCTTCCAATAATTTTAAAAGATTAAACAACCCAAGCAGTCATTTGTTGGCAGTTGTTCAGTAGAAAGCAATCTTCAGCTTAGTTTGATATATTAAAAAACTCTGAAGATAGATTAAAATTCTTGCTGAGAAGTATTAATATAGAAAAATGAATAAATCAACTTATACATTATTCTTTAAGTTCAGTCTGTTCTGGGATGGGAATCATGTGACTTTCCAGTTATTGGACTACAAATCCCAGGAATCCTAGTTAACATACCTAAGAAAGAGATATGTTGGGCCACATGATTCTTACCCAAGGTATGTATCTGTATTCCATAAAAGGAATATGGAGTTCTTGGTGTATGTACCTATTCAGGCTATGAGACCACATATAGTCAGTGTACCAGTATCCAGACAGAACAGCTCACATAAATACAGAAAAGATGTGCTGCTTTCCTAGTATGATTGCCAAGGCCACCTTACTTTTGGGGCTGGCAAGGAAGAAGAAGTTTTCCAACTAGTCACTTTGTTCATTACTCTGTTATCTCTCTTCCAATACCTTAAGTATAGGATGCCCTATAGTGGCTTTTGAAGGGCTGTTAATTAAAAGTCATTTTTTAAATTCCTATTCCAAGTTCTCCCATATAGTATTCCCAGCAAAATCATCAAGAAATGGGACAAATCAATAAAAACTTGGATACAGGAACAAATCAAAATAGAATTGTCATACCTAGAGTGCTGGAAAAAATGGCAAGATAAATTCCCAATAAATAAAGTAGATATACTCCCAGTAGGGTTTCTAGACAATGAAAAGGAACAGATGTTTGGCAAAGTGATAAGAAATTTGAAACAAAACGGAATGAAATTGATAAGAGATCTCCTAAACCCAGATGGGACAATTAAGGATTGGGAGATGACAAAGGACAAATGTTTTCAGTGTAACTGGTTCCTTTGGAACGGTTTGAAACAAAGGATCATGAATTGGAAGAAAAAGGAAGGCCCAGAAACAGATTTTAATCAAATTTTAAAGAGGAAATTAGAAAAGGGGAAAGACCTGATGGGTTTCATATACAAGAAATTAATTGGAAATCAATATAATTTGAAACAAACATTGATAGAGATATGGAAAGAGGATCTAAATAACAATGATTCAGACATTGAACACTGGATCAATTCAATCAAAGATATCACATATAAGGATTAGAGAAACACAAAGGAAAATACTGACTAAATGGTACAGAACCCCAATTAAACTAGTGCATATAACTAAATCAACCACAGAATTGTGTTGGCACAGATGTGGAAAAATTGGTTCCTATATACATATGTGGTGGGAATGGGACAGAGTACAAAAATTTTATAATAAGGCAAAGAAGGAAAAGGAAGAATTAATAGGGTATAAATTGATTTTGAATTATAAAAAATCACCCAGAAATTAGACAAGAACAAAAACATCAAAGATTAAAATAATATTTGAATGAAGGCTAGTACTGTTCCCAGAGGGTGGGGGGTGGGGTGTAAAATCTATAGACACAAGTGGGAGATAAAGGTGGAATAGGCAAGGATAAGAACACTAAGAAAATAATATTAGATATGTATTCTGAAATGGTGATGGATTGTGATATTATTCTACCTGTGTCGGCAATAAAAAACATATTAAAAAATTAAAAGTCCTCTGATTATATATTGAAATGCTGGGATAAAGACTGATACTGCATTTTTGAATTCAACCTATACTAGATGTGGAAATTATGGATCTCTCAAGACGTTGATGAACTGTAATTCCTCAACATTCCCTATGCTGGCTGCAGGTTGTTGGAAGATACAGTTCAACAACATCTGGAGATGCTCCATTGTAATGTCTATAAGCATTTAACTACCCTTTGATCACTAAACAGTTTATGACCACATAGTTTTTCCCCAAGTTTGCTAATCAAATACTCCCTGGAAAAATGCTATGTTTCCTGACTTTGACAGCAAGCTTTTTGTTTCCTTAGGATCTTCAAAAATGGGTGGATGGTGCTCATGAAAATGGCTTTGTACTTGTTTCCTTTGGAGCAGGTGTGAAATATTTGTCAGAAGATATAGCCAAAACATTGGCACATGCTCTGGAAAGGCTTCCTCAGAGAGTTATTTGGAGGTAAGTCTAATAGCAAAAGAGTAAACTGCAACACAATGAAGGCAGAATAGAGGACTTTTATGCAGCCCACTAAGCTATGGGGAAAATCAGTTTTAGTCTGGAAAAAAAGATAGATGTAGTCAAATGCAAAGGTGGGCTGGGGGAGCCTTCCTTATTTCTCTGACATCGGTTTTACTTCTTTCTGACATTTATTTATGATATTGTGCTAAATCTTTTAAATGCAGCATAAAATCATAGCCAATCATAGCTGAGATATGCTGGGTGTCTCTCTCTCCACCCTGTGCCCCCATCTTGACCTTTTGCCTGGAGGAGAATGGGGGAGGCCCGGGATGCCTAAATCTTCAGTTCCTCTGCAGTTATGAATGAAGGAAACACATGTGAAGTAGTAGTGGCATCCAGTGTTTATACACTTTTCTGACAGAGCACACACTTTGGTTGTCACTGACCAAAACTGGTAAACTGCCAATTCATGCCAGTGCCAAAGGCCAGAAGAAATCTAATCCTGGGTTAAATAAAAGACAAAGGATGCATACTCCTGATTTAAAGCATGTAACACCTTCTGAATCTTGGTCTGCATCTTGTTAAGAGAGACACCATAGTCAGAAAAAATGCAGTTACCTGTTCCAAGAGTACTTTGACTCGGCTCGGCTATCATCTGCCTTAGTCAAGATAATTTTAATTTCAGTTCAGAAGATGTGAATGAGGGGTAAATCAAAATAGAAATTTCAAGTAAAAGCTATAAAATCCTTTTACTTGAATCCCACTGTTTTGTGTCAGTATTAGAGAAGTCATGCCAGTTGAATCGCCATCGCGAAATAAAGAGACCAGACACAAGATGTGAAGAAATAAATGGGCCATTTATTGACCTAATTAGAAAATGTTAATTGAGCTAATATAGACTAATTGTGGGAGAAGCACTGCGACATGGGTAAAGGTGTGAGGCCAGGTATCTTTTGGGACCATCTGCCAAGCCAACCACTGGGTGAAACACCTCACCACAGGGGCACTCCATATTGGTGGTTTTCCAACCTGGCCGGTCATTACTGGAAGGCTGTCCCTGGGAACCTCCTGACCCGGACCATGAAGCCCCATAGGAGAGAGGCAAACCCCCCAAGAGAAGCCCTAAGGGAGATATTTTGAGGACCCCCCCCCCCCAAGCTATAGAGCCTACAGAGGTAAACCCTAAATTCCCCCTTCACCCAGTATGGAGGGGTACCAAGGTGTACGCCGATCCAAGCTTGACCCCCACTTCCTGCCAGTGATGCCTACTTATACACCCCCCCCCCCAACCATTTAAATTCCTTACTCCCAGCAGCTTCAATATGGGGTAGGAGAAAAATCCTCCTTTCTGAGGAGGGAAAAAAATCCTACCTGGCCCTAGTGTAGCCAGCATAACTCATATTGAACTGAGGGCGGGAGAGTGGGTTGTACTGCCAGAAGGTGAATGCAGAGAGGAGGGGGTTACCTGCTAGAAGGTTCCCTAGGCCCCTCCCCTCTGCTAGCTGGTGGGAAATCCAGCCAGAACCAACTGGTCCTTCGCAGGGGAATTCAGTTACTCCCCTCTGGCCTTCTGGTTGGCTCCTTCTGTCTGGAGATGCATCTTTTCTTCTTAAGAAATTATTTAATGTGTTCTACATTATGTATTGGCTGTGTAGAATTTAACTGCTTTATTTCCATAATTAGTTTTTATACCTTTTCCTAACATATGTACTCTATGTAGTTGATGTATTTATATTTTCATTTTTTTTGTATTGTATTTTTTTATTCTGCATTAATAGAAAAGCAACTCACAAACCATTAGATAAAGAAATTTCCCAATCATAATATATTTTCAAATGGTTTTACCTTGTATTTTAGGTTTTCAGGAAACAAGCCTAGGAATTTAGGTAACAATACCAAACTCATAGAATGGTTACCACAAAATGACTTATTAGGTGAGTAGTATTGGAGATAGTTTTAATTTTATATGATATTAAACATCCACATTCCTTTATATCTTGTTTAATTACTTGGTATGACAGTGATTGAAAACTGTAGCTGAATTTTGAGTAAATTGAATCATTAGTTTCTGTGACCATCAGGTTCTAGAAAATCTCAGAATAGGACCAGTTCACAATGGGACTGAATAGAAACAAAGTCTTTATTACCCTTTAACCAGAATACAAAAAAAGCCACTTCTTATGGCGTATTCTTTGTTGCAGGTTATATACCCCACAGATTTATCACCCCCCCCCCCTTTTTTCAGGTTCTGACACAGTTCCCAAAACAAAAGGTCTTATTAATGGTTCTCCCCGATTGTCTCTCCCCCTTCCTTTCATTCCAGACCAGGTTAGCCCCCTTCACAGGGTTGGATCTGGCTTCCTGACAATTATCCATGCTGTTACCACCAGATTTTTGCAACTAGATTGGTAACTGGGAATTTCTGCCAATCTTGGGCAAACATGAATTAGTTGCAAGAACATCAATAGTGTTGCTTTGTTAAGAAAGCGTATCTCCTTTCTTTTGGCTAGAAAATGTAATGCTGAATAAATGACTTAATTGCCAATATTATTTTCTATTCACATCAATCATATTATAATCTATTAATATATAGGTTATATGATTGCTCATTAGGTAGCTGTTAGGTAGAATATATACGATAGATTTGTCCAACCTCTTTTTTGGCATCAACAGAGAAACTGAAGTACTTGATGTTTGGCTTGTTATTGCCAACATTTAGTACCAAGGAGCCAGGTCTATGATCTTTTCTGTAGTTTGACTGCAAGAGGATAAAAGGTTTGGCAAGCAATTGCTTGCATTCCCTGTTGCCTATCAACAGTGATAGGTTTTGTGGATCACCTGCAAGGGGGAAGCAGAAGAAGCCCAGTGGGAGATGGAAAAATCATTATTCCAGTGCTAAATTTTATGGATATGTCTGTTTCTGATAACTAGTATTTCTTTCTTATTTATTATAGTTAAGTTACATGAAAACCTTTCTTTTATGTACCTCACTTCTTGCCTTTTCAGGTCATTCCAATATTAAGGCATTCCTTAGTCACGGTGGCCTAAACAGCATTTTTGAAACCATGTACCACGGTGTACCTGTGGTGGGAATTCCTCTTTTTGGAGACCATTATGACACTATGACACGAGTTCAGGCCAAAGGCATGGGGATATTACTAAACTGGAAGACACTTACTGAGGATGAATTATATAAGGCACTGGTGAAAGTTATTAATGATCCCAGGTAAGATATCTTTTCTTTTCGGACTTCCATTGAGATGGAAACATAATTTGATAAGCACTTTGCAAGTAACCCCATGTATTTCATTGCTTAACCTACATAAAGTAATATTAAGGATGATAAATTATTTGTTGGAATGGACTATTATAATAGGCCTATTTTTTATCTTGTTCTACTGCTCCACAGCTATAGACGGCAGGCCCAGAAGTTGTCTGAAATTCATAAAGACCAACCAGGTCATCCTGTTAATCGAACAGTCTACTGGATTAATTACATCCTTCGTCATAATGGAGCACAGCATCTACGTGCTGCTGTTTACACAGTCTCTTCTTATCAGTATTTCTTATTGGATATTGCTGTTGTTGTACTGCTTGGTACTGCCTTATTCTGCTACATTTTGGCCAGGATAGCAAAATTTATCTGCAAGCAAAGCAAACATCTTTGGTCCACTAATGAACATACTACCATTAATGGACATTACCAAAATGGGATTCCAAACGGCAAGTATAGAAGAAACGGCCACATTAAACATGAAAAAAAAGTGAAATGAGCCAACTACCCAATGTACATTAGCAATGAATCAATTCTATAATTGAATTTTATAGCTGTAACGTAGTCTAACACCTACTTAAAGTAAAACAATAAACAGTTCTAATGCTCCCCTACAGTATGTAATCTTATGCAATTAAATTCTGCAGAACTAAGGAAAACCTTTAGAAAAATGAAGCACAACCTAAAATGCAAAATGTATTTTATTCTTAATACTGATGCAGAAAGGTTATACTGGCACTGAAGTTTTTTTTAGAAGCCTTAATTCTCTGAAGTAATTCAATAAGTATATTTATGACTTTTCCATTTCTGAACCTAAATGTGTGGGTCCCAGATAAGGGCAAAGTTCCTTTTATTTGCAAAAGCTCTTTCCTTTTTCATATTCCTTTTTTCATTGGTACTTCAGCAAAGAGATTTTTGTTTTATTTACCCAAGGTTCAATGTTATCTGACAATGATGTTAATTGAAGTCAGTTTTCTGATACTGGGTATGGAGCAGTAAACGAGCTATAAACGCAGCCATAAAGATCATATTCTTACGACACACTGAAGAATATGATTTAAAGAATACCGTACTTTTGATATTCTACTTAATTCTGCCTTTCTTTTCCATTTCTTTAGAGAAAAGGAAATTGCACAAGAGTACCGTAAGCTGTAATTTTATATTTATGTATGTTTTAGTTTAATTCTTTATCTTTCCCCACATCCATAATTTATGCCATTTGTAAGGATGTTTTATTCCAAAAATTAAAAGGGCTGTGTGGATAGAATAGATAGATGTATTTAAAAATTAAGCAGAAGGAGAGGGAATGGCCCTGGGCTCTTCAGGAAAGGTTTGCTTTGTCCCTTGAGCAATGCAGAATCAAACCACTTTGGAGGTTTGTTATATAAAGTTGAATGTCGTTAATAGTATATTATTATAATTAAGTCCTCCCTGCCTCCCCCCTCCCAAAAAAACCACAGTGGTTCAAAGATTCAGTCAGTTCTGTCTGTGTTCCCTATGGAAGTCTGGGCCACACAATCCATGTTACATAGTTGCCAACATCAACCCTTTGAATCAAATGGAGGCTATCCTTTTGGTCAGTTACTGCTGTCTTTGTAGAGGTTTGATATCATGCATGACATTAAACCTAGAATAACTAGTTAGAAAGTTTGCCTCTGCCCACACTCCTTTTATGCACAACACTCTTTCAATCACTGTGACCAATACCGGACTTTTCTGGTTTTAAACAGAAATGGGATTACAGGGCATTGAAAAAAGATCGGGGCTGTCCTGATAAACCAGTGTTGGCAACTATGTGTTCATTATTTTCTGTGTCATTCTGTTTACTTGGAATTTGCACTGCACATGTTGTAAGTGTAGACTTTTATTTATTTGCAGTTTGAAATCCCATGTCTGACAGCGGTAAGGGGAAAAATATAGCAAGTCTTGTTCACTAACATGGGAAGAGTTCTGAAAACAACAGAATACTAAAATCATCTTCGTACACAGTGACATGATATTTCATAATTATCCCATCAGGAGCCTCTGTCTTATAGCAATAAAGTAGCATTGCAAATATGTTTCGGTACAGGCAATTGTACTGCTTTCCAGATACTTGAAAAAATTGTATTATCAATAAGCCTGTTAGCTTTATCTTTTTACAATCTATCAGTATGTAGTAACTATAAAGGAACACAAAGAGGCAATGAGTGGTGGGAAAGTGACAGGACCTAGAGTGTATGAATGCATTGGTTTTAATGTTTTTCGTATTGAAGAAGGTACACAAGCACTGACCGGATGATTAAGTAAAATTTAATCTCCACTGTGATACATTTTAAGCAATAAACATGGATTTAATATAGAAACATGTCATTGGAATCACATCTTTATTTGAACACATATGTGTGCTTATGCATATGCCTACATCCTATTTATGCACAAATATATCTCTTAATTTTTTCTCTTCCTATTTTTATGTATGTTCTCTACTGCGATGCTTTCCTACTTCTCTTTGGGGAGGAGTATTTGTTGTGTTATTGAACAGTCTTTGGCCTATATAACATTCATAAGAGCGAGTAATGATGGCTTTACACTAACTTGTACCATTGTGATTAACTTAACAGGGTGCTAGTCAACATTGAAGGTGTTTTTCTATTTCTGTACAACTTATTCTTAAAAAAGTCACCAAGTGACTAGGTGTGCCATTAACCATATTTAAGATCCATATTTACTTATATTGAGAGTTCATTCATCAGAATCATAGTATTGATCATCAGCAGGAATCTTGTTGATTTTTTACTACAGTAGAGTCTCGCTCATCTAACCTTCACTCATTCAACGTTCTGTATTATCCAACGCAGCCTGCCTCCCACCTGGATCCACAGCTGTTTCGATTCATTGCGATGTTATGGTGCTAAATTAGTAAATACAGTAATTACTACATAATATTACTGTGTATTAAACTGCATTTTCTGTCGATTTGTTGTAAAACATGATGTTTTGGTGCTTAATTTGTAAAATCATAACGTTTGATGTTTAATAAGCTTTCCCTTAATCCCTTCTTATTATCCAACATTTTTGCTTATTTAATGTTCTGCCGGCCCATTTATGTTGGATAAGTGGGACTCTATTGAATAACTAAACGTGAAACCTTCATTTCCGTATAAGGTTTGTATGATTATTAAGATAATACCAAATGCACATTTTACTTGATATGGTGATATGGACCAATATTTAAATTGTAGTGACATTAGTGGAATATAAGACTGATTTGTGTAACTTAAAAAAATGGTTTGTGTGAGGAGGGTTCTTTATCAGGACTCCAGAGTAAGAAGTTGTAATGGTTTGTACACACTCAGACATGCTGAAGTTCCCATCTCGAATACTTCATTCAGAAGGTTGGTATTTTAAAGTTGTTTTTTTATTACTATTTTAATAATACTAGAAGTGACATATTTAGTAGTGCAGGATGATTGGCCCATGACTACTGAATGTCTTAAAATGTATGAGGAATTGTCCAGTGATACAATGCTGTGATTGTATTTGCGTATTTGTGCTTTGTTGGTGCCTTTTTATTTCAAAATGAGCATCCTTAGTGCTGGAAGGATTATAATAAGGTGAGTTCTCTCTCATTTTTTCAGATGTTAAATGCTGGTTGGATGGAAGCCTTTATGCAAAAAACTTATATCCTGTCCCCGCCCCCCCCCCCCCCCCCCCGTTCCCCTCCCCGTTCCCCATCCCCCCCAGCGCCAAGACTGGGATTCAAAGCAACTCAAAATGAAACAGGTTAAAATATTGAAATAATTCAGTTAAAATGCAATTGAAATGATAGGAAACCTACTACAAACTAAATCATTACAGCTCCTCATAGTCTGTTAACTCAAAGCCTTCTGCTATAAAAACTTTTGTGAATAAATGAAAAAAGAGGGGCCATTCTGGCCTCCCTAGAATAGGATTTTCAGAATCTAGGGGCAGTCACCAAGAAGGCCCTCTCTCATGTCCCCAACAATTGTGCTTGTGATGGTGGTGGGTCTGAGAGAAAGGCCTCTCCTGATGACCTCAGAAACAAGGTTGATTCATAAATGGAGATAATGATCTGCCAAATCGATTGCATCCGAGCCATATAAGGTAGGATAAGTCACAACAAGCACTTTGCATTGTGCTAGGAAACAAATTGACAGCAGAGTGTTGCAACAAGGGAACTGTGTGAACCCTGTAGTCAGTCCCAGTTAAGAATCTGGCAACAGTTCTTTGGACCAGCTGAAGTTTCCAAACACACTTCAAAGTCAGCCCCAAGTAGAGCATATTGCAGTAATCCAAATGGAATGTAGCTTGGGCATGTACCATCATTGGGCAGAATGGATTTTGAAGTCATAGCTCAAGAGGGCTGTAGTCTTCAGTTACTTCACTTTTGCTGTGCTAAATTAAGCTATTTTTTAAACTTCAGTTTGAAGAAAACAGTCTCTTTTTTCCAGATTCATACCACATACTCTTACATTAATAAAACTAAAATGCTCTTATTCCAGTGGTGCTTAACTTAGTTGCCTGGAAAATTTGAGTACAAGCAAGTTTTGGCTTATTTCTGGTGACTGACAGTGCCTTCTAAGGTATACCAAACAGTTCTCTCCCAGATTTTACTTGCTAAACTAAATGTTTAGCATGACAAAATGGATTAGCTCACATACCAATATATTAAGTGTGACACTGAGATACATGCATTGTTTATGGTTTCCTGCTCATCTAACAATCTAGCTGTGTCTAGATGCTATCAACAGTGGGTGCAATAAATGCGGAAGGGGAGTGTATTGACCTCACCCTGGATTATAGATTCCATTATCCTTTATACAAGGAGGAACAAAGTGTGAAGATTAGAGCCTCCTTTGTGAACCAAAGTAAATAACAGTCTTTGAAGCTGCAAGGATTTTCAATGCTAATCAAGCTGGCCAATTGCAACATTCACAACTTGTCTCAAACAGGCAAGAGGTCTTTCTCCCACTCTGGACATTCCACAGATATATAAACCCCACTTGCTTAGTTTCCAACAGACCGCACAATCTCTGAGGATGCCTGCTGTAGATGTGGGTGAAACATCAGGAGAGAATGCTTCTGGAACATGGCCATACAGCCCAGAAAACTCACAGCAACCCCATCTTCCATCAGTTTGGGATGATAAAGAATTGATATTTTTATGTAGATTGCTTTCCTTTCAATTTTTTGCCCTTTGTATGTTAAAAGGTATGGAAATACACAAAGAGGAGATAGACATCTTCAAAATTTTACTGACATCCCATCAAGTCTTATATGGTAAAAACATTTTTGTATAGAGGACCATGTTCATTTCAGTTGATATGTGTGAATAAAGGAATGGTCTTGGATAATGTTTCCACACTTCCTTTTATAAATCTAGCTCAGTTGTAAATCTGCCAAATTTTCTTTAGCAGTGTATTTATGAGAAAAGATTGCTTTCTCTTACAGAGCCACACCTGAATCATGTACTGATATCCATGTTATGCTTTAATTAAAATATTTATATCCTATCCCATATCATGGAGATCCCAGGGCAGCATACAAATAAAATCAATTCAAACAATTTTAAACAATTCAGAATTTAAACAGCAAAATAATGTGAAAGATTAAAATGTGTTAAATGATATAGCATGTTAAAAAGTGTCCATGTATATTGTGGTGGGGGGGGGGAGGAGACCTTAGTTTTAAAAAACCCTTGGCTGAGAGGAAACCACCATAGGCAGCAGTCAGACCCCTAAGAGTAGAGCATTCCATTAATAAGGTTTCTTCCACATCATCCTGCAATGTATTGCTCTCAGAAGTAGAAAACAGGAGAACCCCTCCAGCAGGCTTCAGTCAAGTATTTATAGGGAGAGGGGCGGCTTCTGGTCCAAATGTCCCTAGTTGAATTGAGGTTGAAAGTGTTGTGGCAATTAGTGCAATTCCTTTAAAAGCAGTGTTGCATGGTTTCTATACAGCATTTCAGTTAACCGTTTCATAAGTGTATTTTATACTAGCTGAAGCTTCCAAGTCACTTTCAAGGACAAATCCATATAGAGGGCATTCTATTAGTCTCATTAGGAAATGAACAGTGCATGAAAGGCTGAACAGTGATAATGGAGAAGTAGCAGCAGGCCTCAAGAGCCTCCAGTAACAAAATCAGATTCAAAAGTATTCTTTAATGTAATAACTTTTTATTTAGAAGTAGAAGGCATTTGAGATTTACCAGTTCTTGGACAAAATGGCAAATCTTTCTTCCTATTGGAATTAAATCTCAGGTTTCTTTCCCTCATCCAGTCCAGTATAGCGTTTATGCACCAATCTGACACCTATACAGCCACTGCAAAAAAGGAGAAAGGAAGTTAAGCATCATCAGCATGCTCTTAATGACATCACCCAGTTGTTTCATACAGATATTAGCCAGGACTTGAGGAGAGTGGGGTAAGCTGAAACCCTTGCTGCTCTATAACAAACAGCCATTTGCTAAATAGGTATTTCCCAGTATTGTTCTTTGAAACGCTGAAAAATCCTGCAAATCTCTTGGGAAGACAGGTGGACAAATATCAGCATGCTGGAAGATGCAAAGACCACCAGCATGGAAGCGATGCTCCTATGCCATCAACTCTGCTGGACTGGCTACGTTGTCCGAATGTCTGATCACCGTCTCCCAAAGCAGTTACTATACTCCCAACTCAAGAACGGGAAACTGGCATAGACACTGAGAACTGGGAAGCCCTGGCCCTCGAGCACTCTTAACTGGAGGTCAGCTGTGACCAGCAGTGCTGCAGAATTCAAAGAGGCACAGCTGGAGAGCAAAAGGGAGAAACATGCCAAGAGGAAGGCGCATCAAGCCAAGCATGACTGGGACCGCCTTCCACTTGGAAATACATGTCCTCACTGCAGGAGAATATGCGGATCAAAAATAGGGCTCCACAGTCACCTATGGACCCACCGCCAAGATACTACACTTGGAGGACCCTCATCTTCGTGCTACGAGGGATCACCTAAGTAAGTGTCTTTGAAACTGATCTGACAGATAGAAACAGAAAACCTGTAACACAGTCCCTCTTACT